AATATTTTGTTAGAAGCTGTGAAGTTTTAAATGTTATTGGAACGTTACAGTTAATCTTATGAATTTGAATGCGATGACCCTAAACCTGTGGTTATTCTGCTAGAACCCCTGTTTGAACTTGAGGAGAACTGACCTCAAGCATCCACTAAAATCAGGGTTAGTTGACTTAAAAATTACAAATCTGCCATCATTTACTTTCATGTTGGTCCAATGTTGTTTTAGACCCACCCCAATGGCTTTCTTTTTTTGGATAACATCCTTTAAAATATCTAAAAAAAAAATACTTGTTTACAGGTTGGGAACATAATGGAAAAATGATGACAATTTCCATTTTTGGGTGAACTATCCCTTTAAACATAGTTGCAAAAATGAATAAAATAAGTTATGTTTTGAGAAAAGGTCTAGCATTATTTGTTTGTTTATTTGTCAAATACAATGCTGCTTGAGTGTCCAGATACTTTTTGTGGCTACTGAATGTGTGCACAGGCAGGTGTTTGTTCTCACTTGGTCATCCAGTCCCATGAGGCTGTGTCTGTGGTCGTTGGTGAGAGAGGGCTGTGATGAGTCTGCACTGATTGGGTATCCTGGGTATCCATTAGGAAAACCCTGCATCGGGAATCCAGGGGCTACACAAACAGACCAAAGCACAGTACACATAAGCAGGTGACATTTAGGTCGTCCTCCTGTAAGTTAAGTTCTGTTGATATGTGGGCAAGATATATGTGAATAATAACGTGTGAAATGAGTCATCATATTTTTTGGTCTATTTTGCCTATGACCTCAATGGTCAATGTCTAACAAAAGCCAAATGATGACTAAAATACAAAAAAACAATTTTGTTTCTAAGGGGTCTTTATAATAATTATGCATACCTACACTGAATACCTCATTTCTTACATCTCAAGACTTTTTAAGTAACATTGAAACAAGCATGCTCTGTAATGCTGCTTTGAAACAGCACATATTGTGACAGCGCTATACAAATAAACTTGAATTGCAAAAAGTTAAAATGGTGACTAGTTACATAAAGGTTATAAAAATCTTAATGTCAATGTTATTTGACTACTGTGCATTTACAGAAATGTCAATGCTTCCCAGCACACTTGAAAATAAAAATAAAAGTTGTGAGAGACATTTAATGAATGGAGTGTGAAAATATGTAAATACCTGGCTATGTGTTTAAATGTGCATGTGCATGCACATTTTCTACTGCTAAAAAAAGCAATACCATTGACGTGACATTATAATTAACTTGTTTATCCCCATTTCATAACTGATATCGAACATGACTGTTCAAATATTTGTACCCTATTAAAACAGTAAAGACTGATCAAGTGATTAGTGAACGGGTCAGTTTTGTTTTACACATATATGTAGATATGAAACCCTGTGTGTTCAAGTGAGTAGATATTCCAGCTCACTATTGGGTGTCTGTGGAGTTCGAGGCATGTCCATCTCTGGCACATGCCCAGGCCGGGTCATGATCATAGGCTCCTCCACTACATTGATGCTGTTACACTGCATCAACTCCTGCAGCAGGTTGAAGATCTCTTCTGCACGAGAGCACTTGAATGCAAAGATCCCTGTCAAAACATGCAAGAAAATAGAAATAGAAAACAGGAAAACAATAGTAAATGCATAGGTGGAGTATTACTTTCATGAATGGGGAAGGCACAAAAATATATAGGCACACAAAATCTAAATTAGGATGACAGCATTTAACTGAACTTAATTAAAAAATATCTATAACATTACTAGAATACACATTAAATTAAAGGGGTAGTTCACCCAAAAATGAAAATTCTGTCAGAATTTACTGATCCTCGTGTCATTCTATTAGAAAATTAATATATTTGTAATGAAACATGAGCGGTTTGTCCCTGCATTGAATGTCCAGGAAACCAAATCTTAAAAGATCTGAAAAGGTTAAACCATATGAATTGAGTGATTTAATTCAAATCTTGTGATGAGATATGATCACTTAATATGTGACCCTGGACCACAAAACCAGTCTTAAGTCGCTGGGGTATATTTGTAACAATAGCCAAAAATATATTGTATGGGTCAAAATTATAGATTTTTCTTTTATGCCAAAAATTGTTAGGATGTTAAGTAAAGATCATGTTCCATGAAGATATTTTGTAAATTTCCTACTGATCAAAACTTAATTTTTGATTAGTAATATGCATTGCTAAGAACTTCATTTGGACAACTTTAAAGGCGATTTTCTCAGTATTTGGATTTTTTTGCACCCTCAGATTCCAGATTTTCAAATAGTTGTATCTTGGCCAAATATTGTCCTATCCTAACAAACCATACATCAATGGAAAGCTTATTTATTCACCTTTCAGATCATGCATAAATCTCAATTTCGAAAAATTGACCCTTATGACTGGTTTTGTGGTCCAGGGTCACATATGATGAACAGAATTTAGCCTTTATTCCCCTTTTTTTATTCACAGAACAAACCTCAATGGCACAAGCTTCCGTATTTGCTATGTGTATGTTTGTGTGCAGTCATTGTTTAGATGTAAATAAAAGCCTAAATTAAATCACAAAGCAATTGTATCTCTTCACAAACTTCATTTGATTCATATGGATTTGCTTTACATCATTTACTTTATGCCTTTTTTCAATCTTTAAAGCTTTGGTTATCTGTACTTTCATGTTTCAGAGGAACAGAAACCTCTCAGGTTTTATTTAAAAATATCCTAATTTGTGTTTCAAAGATTAACCTTATGGCTCTTATGGGTTTGGAATGACATGAGGGTGAGTAAATTATGACAGAATTGTTATTTTTGGGTGAACTATCCCTTTAAGGAGCCAAATCAACCACCCACCAATATACCTACTAATGAGCAAATGTAAGGGTTCACAGAAGGTTGCGATATTTGCTTTACACGCAATTTAGTCTTGCATCTGCATAAAGTAGAAGTCAGAATCATCTTACCTTGTCCTGTCTGACAACGACGGCCACTCTCGAAAGAGAAGAGGTTGGAATCATAACCGTATCGGCGCAGACAAAGGTATGGCCACCGGATGGCATCACGTTTGCGTGTGTGCAGAATGAGCTCTGTCTGTGTGAGCTCCATGGTTCCTGAGCCCAACTCATTTCCCTCATCGTCCACATTAGTCACCTGTCAGACATAACAGGTTATCACAGAACCAAACAGAGCTCTACTAGGTTAACCATGTAACTATTCTCAAATGCTGCACTTAAAATTAATATTTACCAACACAGTGCTTTTTAAGGTTTGTTTTTATCATAAAGTGTCTTGTGAAATGCACCTTAAATTTGTTGAGATGGTTGTCTCGGATAGTGTCTCTGTATAGACAGCTCCAGCAGCTCCCCATAGCTTCAGCAGGCCAGCTGAAACCTTAAACAGGGACAAACGGGTCAGATATTGCAGGGACTACAGGTACATCTCAAATTTGAATATCATGAAAAAAGGTCAATATTTTTTGTCACTCATTTCAGAAAGTGAAACCCATATATTATATAGATTCATTACACAGAGTGAAATATTTCAAGCCTTTATTTCTTGAAATGTTGATGATTATGGCTTACAGATAATGAAAACCCAAAATTCAGTGTCTCAGAAAATTAGAATATTGTGAAAAAGTTCAATATTGGAAAGTCATGGTGTCACACCCTAATCAGCTAATTACCTCAAAACACCTGCAAAGGTTTCCTGAGCCTTTAAATGGTCTCTCAGTCTGGGTCAGTAGGCTACACAATCATGGGGAAGACTGCTGACTTGACAGATGTCCAGAAGACCGTCATTGACACAAAAGTTAATTGCTAAAGAAGCTGGTTGTTCACAGAGTGC